AAAGAGGCTTCCCTCAAGAGGATCCCCCTCTACCCCAATCCTTCTGCTGTAGTTACCAGGGATTGGTTTGTTTTAACCCTGCTGATGTACAGCTACAGCATGTGTAACTCACAGGAGTGCATGCGACTCACAGCCCCAGTGCAGGGGAAATGCATGGGATACTTGATTAAGACCCTTGGCTGAGACTTAGGGCACCAGGGTTCATATCTTAGTTCTGACACCGACTTCATGTGTAGCCTTGGTCAAATCACTTTATCTCTGTATTTCAACTCACTGTCCCTTAGGTGAGGATACTGCTGTAATTTAAACTGTAGGCTCTTTGGGGAAGGGGAGGTACTATGTGTGGCTAAAATATAGTGCCTAACTTATTCAGGCTTGCAAGTTGCATACTCAGAATGGACTTGAGGAGACGGGAAGCAAGACCTGGTTGAAAGTCAATGTCATATAGGCTCCTAAGGGCTTTTAATTGCTTTTGAATATGGGTGTAGGCTCCTGAATCACTGTGATGCTCTGATTGTTCTACCTTTGACCTACAGTCCTTGCCATCATTATCATTTTATATACAGTAGCACCAAAAGGTTGAACCAGAACTGCAGACCCATTTTATGCTGAGGGCTCTACAAATACACAATCCCTCCCTCAAAGAATTTATAATTGAACTAAGTGAAACGGAGAGTGTGAGGGGGAACAGAGACAGAGAGCAGTGAAGCAGCTTACCTCTAACACAGTTAAAAAATTCCTGTAGTCAACAGTATCCCCTCCTAGGATTCGCCTCAACCAACCAGCGAATATTAAAATGCAGTCTGCCCTATGCTTTAAAATACATAAGATAAAACATTTTAAGACACACCTTCTATCCTAGTCTAGCCAAGCCCTTAGTACCTGACTTGCCATAAGGAGATGTTTTTTAAGCATAGGTCACCTTTCTGCAGAGAGCACCTCCAGAATCTTCTGAAGTCTGCACAGTCTGGAAAGCTGTGGTTATTTTGTGCTGGATCAGGCCCCAAGTTCAGGCTGACATCTTATCCTGCCATCACGTGGCAGTGGTCCTTTCATTCACAATCACAGGATTCATCTTTAGAAAGTCACTTTTAATGCGAATTCCCTTGGTTTTTGGGTATTTGGTTTTATAGGCTGTAAATGCAGCTTGCAACTTTTAATGAGTATACATATTTATATACACTGTTTAAAATATCAGGGAT